CCTCCCCCCCCCCCCTCTACTTACTACCTCCTCCTCCTCCTCAGAAAGCATCCTCTCTTCATCTTGAATAACCTTGGCTATTCCACGCGCCTTGATATCTATCTCCCCCTTTTTTTTTCACACATCAATCTGGCCTGGTAAGTATGCATGCGGTTCTTGGACTGGCACTGGCACTGGCACTGGCGGAATAATGTATGTATGTATGTATGTATGTACATAGCTACATCTACATACACATGTACATTAGCTCTCGTGTCGCGGTATGCATTGGGTTTTGCCGCACCACGCATGTCCATCACGTGGCTGTCAGACGTACTAGTGGGCTGGAAATGTGGTGGAGAGGTATTGGATATCTTCTTCTTCTTCTTCTTCTTGGCGTGTCTATATGTATTTTGAGTCTTCTAAAAGCAGGAGTAATCTGATCCATCTACATATCAATCTGATCCATCTACATATCAATCTGATCCATCTACATATCAATCTCGATCCTCCATCATCTGGATATTGGGGCTCTGTGGAGCTCGTGTTGTGGGATAGCTAGGTACATGTGAGGAAAAGGTAAATCTATGTGTGTGTGTGTGTGTGTGTGTGTGCATCCCTTGTTGCCATTACCGTTACAGTTATTGTGCTAGGGGGCTTCGGGCTTCGGGCTTCGGGCTTGGCTGATGGCTTTGCTTGCGTGGCGTGGTGGGGCCTTTGCATAAGCTGTGATGATACAATAGCAATAGCGCGTTAATTATACGTTCTAGGGGTCTGTGTGCGGCTTACGGGGTAAGATAGTAGTAGTGGTGGTAATTGGTGTCGTGATGTATGTCGCCGTTGCATAGAGCTGGGCTGCTTCAAGGGAGCTTGCTGCTGGCGAACATGCGCGTGACGCCGCTTGGTTTGGTCTAGGAATGATTACTACAAGCCGTTGTTGTAAAGTTGTTGTTTTGGTTTATGTGTTGGACGTTGCTTTTTGTATACCTAGATCAATGTGTATACTGCAGGCATGAGATACTGTACAGAGAGTTTCTTTGGTCTTAGTCTCGATAAGCATGAGTTTCTTTTTTTTCTCTTTTTCTTTTTTCAAAGACTACCTCGTAGATAAGATAAGTCGTTATCCTAACTCCCTCGGTTGCATCAACAAGGTAAGAGAAATATCCAAGAAGCACTCAGCAATTCCATCCAACGACGTTGAAAAAGCAACTTCTTCAACTACTCGAATCCTCCTCCCCCTTTCTGTCATGTCGAGCTACCCACTCTCGAACTCGACTCCCCTCAAGCCTCGCCCTCTCTTCCAACCACAGGGGAACCCTTCTCCATGGCACCTCACCAGACGATTACGAAATCACGGTTCAGCACACTTTGACGGCTGATTTCCATGCCGTACCCCTTCCAGTCCGTTCAGTTGTCTCCGTGGGTCTTACTTAGTTCGGCCACCAAAGAAAAAAAACTGGAAAATCTGGGGGCAACTCAACTAAGGCGATGTGATTTTTGGAGTTCAAGACACAAATAGAAATGGAGACGGGCAATGTTATACATGGAAACGAGAGATATAACCGCATAAACGAGGGGTATAACCGCGTAATGGGGAATGGGCTTGTAGTTTTTTTCAGTTGAGTTTCCCGGGAGCTGAGGGATTGCAAAGTATGCGTGGGTGGTATAGAAGTACTTCTGATGGCTGCATAGTAGGAATCCGTCTTGTGGGATATAAGGTATCGTTACCACGGCTAGATACTGCTGCTGCTATGGATTTATACAGTGCTAGAATGCCCTGCACACTCTCACAGCATACGCCTATGTACTCATACCCATCCCACAACAACAACTAGCATCTTGCGCCATACGTTGTACAGTTCAGATTTAGATGCCACACTTTCATGCGACCTAGAGGGGTTTCCTTGCTTATGGCGTATCCGCACCCTAAGCCTCTCTTTCTCTCTCCCTATCTCCTTAGGCATATCCTCTCTCTCCACCAGCTTTTATTTTATTTCCCCCCCGTACTTCCTCCAGGTCCTCGAATATGCTATCATCACCTCTTTTCTTCCCTCGCATTACTATCCTTATCACTCATCACCATCCCCTTCCTTCCTCCTGCATTCCCACCACCTCCTATCCCGTCCCATTCTATTCTATTCCCCTTCTCTATTTTTTTCCCCAGCAACAAACATGCACATATCCGCCCACCGCCTTTCCATTTTTACACGCAATCCACTTCAGCATCAGTATCCAGTACCAAACATATACCCACTCACCTCGATTACTAATCAAGTTTATTCCCATTCCCTATTCCCTGCACTTACTACATCAACCCCACCACTCACTAAACAAGTCCAAAAGTCCTTGATTGAATTTATTTATTTATTTATATCCTTGGATACAAGAGACTTGGAGGCGTGAAAACATTCCATCATATCGCGCGTTACATGTTGATTCTCGTTATGTGCGTGAGGGATACTACTTGCTTGCCTTGTTTAATTGTTTCCTTGTTTACTTGCTTGCTCATCGCAGTATCGATTTACGGTCGATAGAAAGAAAGTATGAAAAGGAGGTTAGTCTTATTATGCATGCATCATGTGCTATTCCCTATGTAGAAAGAGAAATGGAATTAGAAAGATGTGGTGGTGATTAAATCTTTATACTAGTTATGCACACGCGACGTAAGCAAACTACTGTTTTGTTTTGTGCATGCAGTTCTACACCCAAGTCTAATTGTGCGAGTCTTCACATAGACATGTGATTATGCTCTGAGAGGGCGAACAGTCAAGAGACGAGAGTAAGGTACCAGGATGAGTAATTCGACGCAGCACCACGGATGCAGAGTCAGCAGCGAAGCGAGACCAGTGTGGGCGAGGGGGCAAAGTCAGATTCAGGGTCAGAGACAATGGCGCTGAAGACGAATCGGTACCATACTACGAAGCGATGGGCGCGGCGGACCCAGAGATAGTGGCAGCGCCAGCACTTGCGTACGACACCGGAGACGGAGACGGAGACGGAAGCACGCGCCGGCACCAGTGCCAGACGCCGTCGTGTGGTGCAGCGGTACAAGCTTTGTCAGGGTGATGGGTAGGACGAGGGGACTGGTTGCGTTGGGTTGGATGCAGCTGTACATCCACCACCTACATCATCATCTTCATGCGCGTCGTCGTCGTCGTCTCCTAGTCTTAGTCCTATACCTGCCTATATATACCTATACATACCTATATCACGGCGGCGCCGAAACTCGCGCGTTTCTGCATATCGAGTCAACAAAACGCGCGAGATGAAGAGTGTGGCGGCGTGCGGATGCGGGTGTGGATGCGGGTGTGGATGCGGGTGTGGATGCGGGGTGGCCGCGAGACGAACAGGCTCAGGAACATGGACGGATGGAAAAAGGAAACCGAAATAGAAACAGAAACGCAATGTGTAGCGGGTATTTGGTTTGAGGGTAATGCGGGGAGGGGTTTTGCGTGGCGGCTGCAGGCGCATTTTGAGTTGAGCATTAGACTGGTGGTGATGGTGAGGGGTGGATAGCAGTGCGTGGTAGTACTAGCACGACTACTGCTAGGTACCACATGAAAGTGGCCGGGAATAATCTGAAGCGTGGACGACGGACATTGGTGGCGACGGCGTGTTTGAGTGGATGGGTTCGGTGCTGAGGCCTTTTTGCGTTGGCAATGGGTACGTGTACGAGGAATTCACATGCTGACAAGGGCGTTGTT